TGGATTTAGAATATCCTAAAGAATTACACGATTTACACAATGACTATCCAATGGCACCTGAGGTTATGAATGTTAAAGCCGACATGCTGTCAGATAAACAAATTGAAATTTATGAATTTTTAAATCATAAAAAACCTACGGATGAGAAAACAAATAAATTAATATTGAACTTAAATGATAAAGAAAAATATGTAATCCATATAAGAACCTTACAATTTTATTTGAAGCAAGGGTTAAAACTTAAGAAAATTCATAGAGCAATTAAATTTGAACAAAAAGAAGTTTTAAAACCTTACATTGAGTTTAACACTGAGAAGAGGAAGAATGCTAGAAATGATTTTGAGAAAGATGTTTACAAATTGATGAACAATGCCATATTTGGAAAAACAATGGAGGATAAGCGAAAACATTTAGACTTTGAGGTTGTGAGTGATGAAACTAGATATATGAAGTGTGTAAGTAATCCTAACTTCAAACATAGTCATATCATTAATGAAAATTTGGTTGGAGTTGAAAAGCAAAAAACAAAGTTGAAACTAGACAAACCTATATTTATTGGGATGAGTATTTTAGATTTGAGTAAGCAACACATGTATAAATTTTATTATGACGTTATGAAGCCTAAATATGGAGATAATATTAAAATGGTATATACTGATACTGATAGTTTTGTATTTCATACTAAAACCAATGACATTTATGAAGACCTTAATACAATTAAAAAAGAATTAGATTTTTCAGATTATCCTAAGGAACATAAATGTTATGATGATAATAACAAGAAAGTATTAGGTAAATTTAAGGATGAATTAAAAAGTAAAATAATAACAGGGTTTATAGCTCTTCGTCCTAAATGCTATGCTTACTCAGTTTATGGTGATGATAAAAAATATAAGAAATGTAAGGGCATAGCAAAAGGCACAGTAAGACGTCAAATGAAATATGAAGAGTTTGAGACGGTTTTAAAAACTAATAAGGTTATACATAAGTCATTTAATAGTATTAGAAGTAAAAACCACATAATTTTTAGTATAGCAACTAAAAAAATTGCTCTTAGTAGTTATGAAAACAAAAAATATTGGATAGATAGTGTAAACTCACTTGCTTACGGCCATTATAAAATAAATTCTTTGAAAACGACTTAAAGAAATATTGACTTAATATATTAAGAGGAAAAATGACACTGTTTAATTATAGTAAGTGTGAATGTTGTAATAATAAAAAGAATGATATTAATTTTACATTGTATAACTTATTACCTGCTAATCTGTGTAATAAAATAAGTGAATATGATGTATATTGTAATCAATGCTGTATAACAAGAGACCTTGAAAAGTTGTTTGTTGAAGAATATAAGGATAAGGGATATACAAAGTTTCAATTAAAATTGAAATTCTTTATGAGATATCAAAAACGATTTCCTGTATATTTTTACAATAAAATTGATAGAGAGTCATTTGAAAAACAAATTGATGAGTTTTTTAATAATAAAGATTTGATTAAAAGGTTTGGAGGAGAACTAAGCATTAAACCATATAAATCATTTGCTAAAGAATTTCGTGATTTGTTTGAAGAGATTGATTGGCATTTATTAAGCAAAGATAAAATAAACAAGGTCTTGAATGAATTTAAAATAACTAAATATCATGTATGGTATTACTACAACACTAAATATAAAGTATGTCTATTGCTGTATTTATTCTTTTGGGAATATATTTATTCAATAATAGGAAAAGACAATATCAAATATATAGACATTGGTGATATTGATAAATATGTAGATTACATATTTGAAGACATATTGCCTGACTGTTATCTTAAATCCTTAATTCTTAATTGAAATATAATTATAACATGTAAAATATTATATGCTATAATTATACTATACTTATGGTTAGTTTCTTAATTTTTATTAATGCCTTAAAAATGACTTAAAGAAATAGTGCCTTAATATAATAAGAGGAAAATGAACGGTGATAAAATCAATAATTATATCAATAAAAAATGCTATGATTGTTGTCACTTCAAAAAAGAAAATATGGAATTGTATAAATTAAATTTACCTAATAAAATATTGAATAATATTATTAATTATTCAATGGATGAAGAAGATGAATGTAAAATTTGTCAGGAATGGAGAGATAATCAAGTTTTAATCAAATGTCTGTTGAGAATAAAAGGGAGACATAATAGAAATGTAGAAGATGAGATTTTAATATTTCTAACTGTAAATAAAATACCACCTTACGATTATATTAAACAGTTTCTTAAAATCCCTAAGAAAAAATATGGTATGATTGATGATATATTAAGGATGTTGTGTTATAGTCAAGAGAAAGGAGAAGATGTTAAAGAAAATATCAAATTATTTATTGAAAGTAAAAATTTTAATGTTCAAAATACATTGAGAGATATTAATATTATTTTTAAAATGATGTATGAAAGAAGTAAGACAAATCAATTAAATTATTATCCTGTACTGAAATTATAATCATACTATAATTATCACATGTAAAATATTATATGTTATAATTGTAATATATTTATCGTTTGTAAAGATTGAATTATTTAATTTGCTTATCTCTTTCAAAGTGCGTTGTTTAGACTTGGTATGCTCTTTTGATTTTTTCGTGCTTTGGCTGTTTGTTTTTGTTTTGTTTGATGCTCTTGTGATATTTTTTGTTGGTATGTTGCTTTGTTTTTTGTTGATGTGTGTTTTTGAGTTTGGGTTCTTTGATGATTTAGAGTGTTGCTGTTTTGTTGGTATGCTTGTTTGAATTATTTAATGTTGTATGCTGTGATTAAATATTTTTGTTGCTGGTTGTGATTATTTATTTTGTTTGCTTGTTGTTCTGGATTTTGTTTTCTGTTTGTTGTGTTGCTGTTGGAAAAAAATAGTAGAAAGAATAATTCTTTGAATTCTCCTTTTACTATTTTTTGGGGGATACCATTGGGGGGGGGGGGGGCTAAAAACCCGGAGCCCGGGACCATATATGGGTGTCTTTCTTGAGGGTACCCGCGATTGTAAGGAACGCCAAAAGGGAACACCAAAAGGAACACCAAAAAGAAACACCAAAAGGAAACCACCTCATTCTTTGGGGGAGGTCCCTTAAAAGACAGCCCCGGATTTCTATGCCCCCTCCCTTGGGTCCCGGCTGACATGAACTGAGATCTGGGCTGAAGCTATGAGGCCCAGCACCAGCAAAAAGAAGCCTGCCGAAGCTGCTGGGCATTGACCCTTCAAATGGCCACCGGTGACCTTCTGGTGAAAAGGGGAATTCCATTGGGGTTGACCTCCAGATGCTAAAGAATAGAACAGTTGCGCGAAAGCTCACGGCATGGCAGCGGACACAACTCCGGTTCAGAATATGTATGTGTATACATAATATATATATATATATGGTACCCCCCCCCCCATGGACCCTGGTTTTGTGAGTTTGACCTGTGTTTTTCCAGTTGTTTATTCCTTTTTTTGGCTTCTTGGATTTGAGTCAAAATTGGGGGGTGCCATGTGTATATATGACATGCATGCATGCACACATATGTGATGAAAGCAAGGACATCAGCATCTGCAATCTGAAAGAGTTGGAATTCATCCAAGAGTATTCTAGCAACTCAGAAATTTTTAAAAATTTTTAAAAATTTCTGGATTCAAGATTCAAGATTCAAGAATCTCAGGAAAATTTTTCTGAGATTCTTGAATCTTGAATCTTGAATCCAGAAATTTTTAAAAATTTTTAAAATTTTTAAAAATTTATGGATTCAAGATTCAAGATTCAAGAATCTCAGGAATTTTTTTCTGGGAATCTTGAATCTTGAATCTTGAATCCATAAATTTTTAAAAATTTTTAAAAATTTCTGAGCTGCTAGAATACTCCAGGTTTTCAAAACGTACTTCTACAAGCAAGTATGCATGCCCATCCGCAGCTGAGCACCGTTCGATCTGCCATCCTCTTAGCTTTCCCGTTTCCCGCAATGACCGGGTTCAGCGTTCGAGGACAATTGTCTCTCCGAGATGGTGAGGCCACATTGGTCTTGAGGCCAGAAGAGGTGCCAAACCATTCTTCTACGGAACCTCTCCTTCGTCCGACAGGAAAGCTCATCATTGCTGCCGTCAAGCGTGGCGAGTACGCAATCCACGCCAGCCGAGTGCCTTTGACCCCACTGGCAGCCGGCAGCATGATCTCCAACGTCGCCCGCACTCTTCGGATCGCTGGCTGGACTGAGCAGGCACAGGAGCTGTTCGAGGCACTCAAGAAGCCCAAGCGTGGCGCAGAGAATCATCTCCTGTCCATTCAGGCCAAGGAGACGCTCGCATTGCAAAACGGCACGGTCAGCGCGGACAGCGCAAATGTCAATGCCAATCCAGATGCTGACACGGAGATCCAGAACAACACAAAGAAGGAAGATCGCGACTCCAGCAGTGACAGCTCGTCTTCGGGATCAGATACTGCCCCAGCGAAAGCATCGGGAGGTGCGACAGCCGAAGCAGTCATGGAGCAGCTGCATTTCTTGACAGCCGAAGCAGTCATGGAGCAGCTGCATTTCTTGAAGCACAAGAACGGCCTCCTGGTGGCTGACCTGCAGGACATGGAGACTGAAATCGAGGAGCTGAGCGACAGGAACCTCATCTTGGAAGCCGACATCCAGGAGAAAGAAGCAGAAGTAGAGGGACTGCAGTTTGAATTGACTCAGGCGCACAAGCGCCTGCGTATCTATGAGCAACTGCTGGAGCAGTAGCTGGCTAGCGCAAACTGCTCGACATATGAGGTGAGGAAAAAAAGCGGAGCCGCTGCTAGCACAGACTGCTTTTTCGTGTGTTCAGCCTTTCTGTAATGTCTGCGTTCTATCTAAGAGAACGTCAGAGTACTCTCATGTGACACCATGTTTGATGTGATGCATCCTTCTGCTTCGAAACATGCATTATTCTACGTGAAAGATGTGTCCGCACAGCCTTGTCCTACTTTGTTAGACCACGACTGTAGAAGGATAACGCCGTCATGTCGGGCCGTGTGATGGACATGGCCATTGCGCATGTGGGGGGCAAGCAGTGGAGCCTGCAATATCTACAGGAGCCACGATGTGGACCCTGTGCACCAACCTCTCCCCTTAGCCTGACAGACTTCTTGCAGGGTGCTTGCAGGCCACTGAAGAAAGGCGTCAAGTCTGTCTCGGTACTCTTTGATGCCCACATTGCCCTGCCTGAGTTCGGTGGGGTTCCTGCAGTTGGTGAAATGTTTGCCTCAAACCGTCTACAAGAACTGCCTGCATCCATCAAGCTCCGATCACCCATCCCATCAAGTACCAAGGTTGACGTGATCATCTACAACTCTGGCGATGGCTGCATGGATGTGCTCAAGGTGCTCTACTTTGAGGAGCCTCTGCCGTATCAGCAAGCTGTGTCTCTATGCAGCGGGCAAGCTCATGTCCCTGTCTTCCGTGCTGGTCCGTGGAACATCAAGAAGGGAGTGCAGTGGCTACTGGGTCGTCTTCCTGGATACCAAGTACGCTGGCAGAACCTCCAGGAAAAGGCGCCAGAGCAGCTTCAAAGAATGAACTCGCAATCATCCTGGAGCCCGCCTACAGAGGAGCTGGCGGAGGGAATTGCTTTCATCAACGACAACGCTCCAGAATGTGATGCTCGAAATGAGCAAACGTTCTGGATCCTCACCAATATCAAAGACAGCACCAATACGCCAATCTCAGGCTGGCCAGAGGCCAAAGTGCGAGCTATGGCGCAGAATAAGAGCAAGGGGCTGGCTGGTGCGCAGCCCATGAGCCAGTTCCCTCTTCAGACCTACAGCCTGAAGCCCATCTTGCACGAGGTCCTTCTGCCCTTGCTCTATCCGATGTTGATGAGCTTCGGGGTTATCATGCTCGGATACCCGGGAGTTGGCAAAACCCCAGCCTTGATTATCATGGCCATGGCAATGGGCCGCTTCCATGTGCGGCGCCTGGGTCTCGAAGGGGTCCTGCCCGGATGGCGGCGTGCGAAATCCTTGGACAACTTCCGACACAGGGTGCCGCAAGTGCAGGAGGCCATCTTTCTGGACGACCCATCTCGTGACAAAATCTCTGCTGCTGATCTCAAGAGCTTCATGACTGTAGATGAGGATGGCACCTGCGATGGGAGATACAATGACACGAGGCTTGTGCGCAACCAAATGCGGGCGTATGCCTCCAATGATCTCGCAAAGGACACCTTTGATGGCAATGCCTCGGACACAAGCCTCGAACCCAAGAAGTTCCTGGAGCTTCTCCGATATCTTTTCGCAGGAGATTCTGAAAAAGATACCCTAGCTGTCTTGAAGAGGGCGATCGTCTTTGCCTTCGCTGAGTCGGCTGTGTACCTTCGGCTGCCCTCGGAGAAATCGGATGCCGTCGTCCACCGCATCTGTGTCGATGATCTGCATCGAGACTTGCTGTCCGAGCGAGACAAGCCTCTGTACGCGAAGTACAAGGTGGGTGTCTATGACACAGATCAGTACTTCGAAGAGGAAGTGGCCAGGGAGCAGTCGATGATCGATGATGCTGTGGCCAAAATGTCGGACTTTCCCAGGCTGGCCGACTATGTTGAACATGCCAATGACAAGATTCAGAGCTACCTCTTCAGGCGCACAGCCTTCGACTGGGATCGCATCCCGCAGCCTTCGCCAAGTTCATCTGAAGGTGAGAAACGAGCCCAACGTGCTCAGCCATCCCCTCTCTGCATTGGCACCAAGCCTCGAGCCAATCGTATTCGGTCGGCTTTCGTGTACCCTGACAACAAGAAGCGTCGCTTTCGAGAGAAGACCACGCCAACTCCCACACAAGAACATGGTCCTGAAGAGGAAAACAGCTGCATGGATTTCGAGGCGGCTGGCCCTGAAGAGGAGAACGGCTCCGCGCAGACGGATTTCGAGGCGGATGAGGAAGTCGCAAAGTCCCTGCATAATTAGTGTAGCCTCCAAGGTGCGACTAGATCACTGGTTCCCGGCTGCAAGCGCAACGCAGAAGAATAAAAGCCACTCGCCCCTTGCTGACACACTGCAACACGAGTGTTGGAGTCTCACGCAGTCGCCACGCCAGCCATTTCAGCGTCCTGTGCAGCATTGTTGCGGAGCCTTTTCGGTAGACATGGTGGCCCACTCTCCGATTGTGCCAAAGCGAGGCAAGGCGAGAGTTGTTCAAAAGAGGCCTGCGTCTACGAAGTCGTCTCAGTGGCAGTCAGTTCCCTATGTCAGAGGTGCTGCCCAACACAAAGGCAGAGGACAGCGGAAAGATCAGATCAAGTGGCGCCGAAGCATCCCTGATCTTCTACAGGCGACAGACAAGGGCATCATCACCATGCTAGTCAAGGATAAGCTGCTGCCGCGATGGCAAGGCAAGACGTGCCCAGCCTGCAACAGGGGCAGTTTGTCCTCACTCCAGCAGAGGCCTGGGCGCCGCACATGGGTGCATCGCTGCAGCTACTGGAAGTGCAAGCAGTACATCAACCCGCATCACATGCACCCGTTCTTTACGGAATGCAAAGGATCTGAAGGTCACAGCCTTCAAATCCAAGCTGCTGTGCTCTTGTTGCACCTCTGCAACATCAAACAGTCGGAGATCCACAAGTTGATGGCTGTGAACCACAAGGCGGTCGAGGACATGGGCAAGAAGCTCGCGCAGGGAAGGAGGAAGTATGTGGAGGCGGTTGAGAAAACCATTCGGTTTGGTGATGGTGTGAGCTGGCTTGACGTGGAGGCGGATGAGGCGACGTTCGACAAGCGAGACATCAGCAAAGTGCCAAGCATGAGGGGGCTTGTCAAGGGCAACGACTGCATCATGTGGGAGCAGTGGTGCGGCATTGTGCAACGAGGAGTTCCACAATCCTTGGTTTTGGTGCGCCTGACTCCGAAGATGACCGGCAAGAGATCTCCCGGACCCGGGCCCATTAGGAAGATGGAATGGGCCTCGATAGGGCAGAAGCACTTGCAGAATCGGCGCATTGTGTTCCACACGGACAGTGCGAAGTCCTACAAGCTGCGCATTGACGGTGTGATCCACGACAAAGTCGTGCACCAGAAGAAGCGAGTCAAGGCCGCCAATGGAAAGTGGGGATGGGTAAGCCCCAAATACGTGAAAATCGCCTTGCACAAGCTCCCGGGAGGTGGCACCCTGAAGGTCAAGGCCGGCACACAGATCATTGATCGGTGTTGGAGGTACCTGAAAGACAGAGTCCACTTGAACCAGCACAGTAAGGCAGGTACTCAGCTCATTAAGGACAAACTGCGCGCGGCCCAGTATCAGTACTGGCATAAGGACTCCGACATGTGGCTGGAGACGGGCAAGTTGGTCCAGCACATGATGGCCGCCTTTCTGAATTGCCAGTAGAGTGACCCGCAAGGGAGACACTGCGACGCAGTGCGGATAGAGCGTGCGGCGGGGTGTGAAAATGCCACGTTGCCAATGCTGTTGTAGAATTCTCAAAGGTATATCTATCTGACATATCTGTTCATCTGTCTGCGTGTACGGGCCCTACATCTGTATAGCCAGACATCTAGACTCTGTCAACGTGTCTGCCAGAATCTATGAACAAACACGTCTGCAAATCTTCCTCATCTCGAGCAAAATACTCTGAAGTATGTGCTTTGCAACTGGTCTGACACATGTCCATACTGTTGCAACAGCTCTCAAACTCACAAAACCAGGGTCCATGGGGGGGGGGGTAGCATATATATATATATATATTATTTTTACTGGGTATTCCTAGAACCAAACCAGAACTGGTGGAATTAATCTATGTTCGACCAAGTAGACCTAGCTAAAAAGGAGTCAACAAAAAGGCAATTGATCAACAGATTGTCATGCCGCATGCTTCATCCGAAGTTTGCCAGTGCGAAGGACGTCCGCACTTGGGCATCACTCTACTCTGGCAACATGACCTAAGGAATGTACCACAGCATGACCACCTGCACATTCATTGAAGAAAGCACAAGCTTCAACTTGGCAGAAGCGACATGTAGCTTCATGTAAGCGACATCTTGCTATCCAGCTCATCAACTTACAAGGTACTATAATTCCACCTAATCTCCTCTGGCCCAAATAGGAAAACATTAATGTTGCGTGTTAAGATAAGTCGCCCCGTGTGGAGTGGAGTCTGAAAAGACACTGAAGGCATATCTACAATTCGGAACCGAGTTTCAAACGCGGCCCTTTGATTTCTTGTATGTTCCGTTACCCACGACAAGGGACTCTTTTTGTTCCCAAAAGCTCAAAACTATGGGCTCCTTTGCCCAAATAGGCTCTGGCAAACTACCACCGGCGCTTGTGTTTTTTGCTTCAAACCACCACAAGACCTGGGTATGAAGTGAACACAGTTGGTTCGTTGCATGATTCTGACAAGAAGGGCGGGGTAGTAAGTTGCGGGTTCATTTTCTTGCACCTAAGGGAGACTCCTGATCAACACCAAAAGAATCAAAAAAAGCAGACGCCGATGGGGAGACTCCTGATCAACACCAAAAGAATCAACACCAAAAGAAACCCGCTTGGATTTTGGACATTGGCCCAGAGCCGAAGTTCGTTACCCCCCCCCCCCTCCCCAAGCAAAAAAAAAGGTGATAAAAACACAACAACAAAAAAGGACACCCCCCCGGTCAACCGCTTCCGTCTCCGGCTCCGACCGGTTCCGAGACCGAAAGCTTGGCCTCCGTAGATGGCCGCGAGGTGGCTGCGCCCAGCGGCGATCTGGGCTGCGAATCCGGCGGAAATGGGAAAATGACCCGTCCCTAGTTGCGTCTTTTTGGTTCAAACGAGCAAAGAACAGCACCACGCAGAAAAGAACACACTTGCATGTCGATTTTGAGGGTGGGGCTATGCCGACAAGATTTGAGGGGTACCATTCCAACAAGTCCAACTCGTTTTGCAAAGGAACCCAAGCCACCAAAAAGGTTGTCTCCATTTAGATCTCCCTTTGAGATACATCCCAAGGATACCCTCCACACAGCACGTGCCTGTCGAGCCGAGTTTAGGTTGGGACTTTGTGCCTTCACAACTCCATTTTTGGCAAAACAGCACCCATGAGCATCAAATGGAAAGTGTTCAAAAGGAGATGGACCAGCGAGCAAAAAGGGCCAAGCCCCCATTGGACCCGAATCTGGCCGTGGCAACTTGGCCGAAAAAGGGACCGGAAGGACCCGAGAACAATGTTCGACTCTTGTCGTGGTTTCGTCATTTTGCGGTTCGGGGCGACCCGGCAACAAGCAAACTAGGGCTCCAAATCCAAGCATGAACCAGTGAGTTCTTTTAATATCTGTTGCGGCATGCCAAGGCCGACAGCAAGCTGTCGCGTCATTGGATGCAGAAAGAATATACGGCGTGGCATGTTTCTGAAAGCTAAACCACACAAAATAACAAGGGCTTGTGCTGCATCGTTCATGCCGAAGGACAATGACTTGAATCTCCTGACTGTCCGTTGGCTATTGATGTTCATCAACGCCAGTGGTACTAAATCCCGTCATGTTCCTGCAAGTCGACTGTCAAAAGAGGCAAATTTCACCCCGTGGCAACCATTTGGCGGTCTGCGCCACGATTTAGGCAGCTGTTGTGTCGCGGAAAATAAAGCACAATAAATCGGAGCATCCTTTCATCATTCTAAACTTGGAGGCCCGAAAGCAAAATACCGCCATTCGAATTCGCCGGTTTCAACCCAGTTGTCGAGGTCGGTTCTTAGCTGACATATATCCACCGTCAGTCGCCTTCCTTTTCTCCAGCGCCGCCCCCCCAACTGCGACTGCAATCGCTCCAATGCTGATTCAGAACTATGGCAAGAAAAGCCATGGTCCTGCATGCTCGTTAAGGGTCCCTGGTCACTGTGGGGTTTCTGAGGGGGTGCACCAACCCTGCTTCACAGTAGCTTTCCATACCATTACAGAATTTGCTCCTACGGGCTTCTGGCTCTGAATCAGTAAAAGGAATCGCTCGGGCCTCTTGGCAAACCAGCACCCCGCTGATCAGCAGCAGCACCGACACGCAAAATCCCAAGATCTGCGCGCGAAAGCGCTCGGGAGGCGTTGAGAGCAAGAGGCGTCCACTTCTGAGGTCCTCGTTGGGATCCAACTGACCCACAAAAAATGATCATGTCTTGGCTGGCGGGAACTCCAGTCATTTGAGTCAAACAGTTCAAGGTCCAAACAGAGAGCACCCAACCATGGAACAACAAAAATTGGTGCCATTGTGCCCCATTGTGCCATGGCCTCTTGTACAAGAGGGTGACTGAAAGAGCCTTGCAATAGGTCGTGTTGCTCCCTTTTTTTCGTTAGCCCTTGCACTTAGCGTGGGGTCCATTGCTCGTCTTTCGGAATGCCTTGTGTCTCAAAGGCAAAGGCTTAGTGGGGTGTGAATCTCAAACAAGCATTCTGGTCCTTAGAAAAAACAAAGAGCAGCAAAGAACAACAACCAGACATGAAGGCTTAGCATAACCGCGACAATGACAAGAAACCGACCGCCACCAAGCATCTCGGCCCCTTTTCGGACCGGAACGCCAAAATGCCATCATGAGCAACTGTCGGAATGTAGTACGGGCCTTGATTCGAATGATGTGGTGCACTT